GACGTTTTATCGTTACCGTTTTATAATGTAAATTATTGTAACGACGCTCACGTGACGCGCTGCCCACGCGTGACGACGCAACTAATTAATTGGTATTTTTACAAAATCACCAGCGATTCTGTAGTGCCGTCGAAGTCGGTGGTAGGTGCAATTAAAAATTTTTAATTAAACACATCCGCCAGTGACCTATTCCACTTAAATCACCGCAGCACGCAATATTCGTAAAAACAGCCGTCACGTGCAGACCGAGTATTACAAAATAAATTAAAAAGTGATAACTCGCGGGCCGGTGCATATCAAATTCACTGATTTATAATCCTGATTTATGGAACGTGTAAACATTAGATTCTAACAGGAATCAAACACCCACGTTAAATGGTGTTATACGTAAGGAAGCTTGAAGCGACCCCAGATTATTTTTCACAAATTCCGTGTATTAAGTGTCTTAACGCTCGCGGCCGTGTGCACCGCCGTACGTGGAAGTACGTAAGTGCACATAGAGAATATGTGATGGATACTTGCCAGCTTGAACATGTTAAACGTTTTATCGGCTTTTCCGTTCGCAAACACGAAAGGACGCGAATCGATACTGCTCTAAGCGCTACAGAAATCGAACTCTTTATATACACGTGCCGAAAGCTGTGTCATCTTCATTGTCCCGTCCCACTCTGGCCTCCGCAGCCTCCTGGCCTTGATCGTTCCCGATAATCCGTATCCGCGAATCGACCGATTTTTCTCATTCCCGTCCCGCTCCTCCTTCCTACCGTCGTCATCCTTCGCCCCTCGCATTTTCCACTAACGCGACACCGTTCGTTCGAATTTTTGCATTACAAATATGTGTAGAGGGAGAAGGCGGCGTGGGTGCGAGCCACTCGGAAGTGCACAGCGCGATGGGAACGCTCGCAGATTGATATCGCAGGACGCTGATTTATGGAAGGACTCCTGAACGTCGACAACGACGTTCGTTTAATCGAAGGACACGAATGTTAGTCCCGCGCGAGCCTCTTTAATTAAAATCGACGCTGCGTCGAGGGGAGAGTCTCCGTTTCGCACGGAGATGCGTGAGACGCACGGCGGGGAAGGAATGAAATTATGAAAATGTCACACGGTATTCGTATCTGTTCAATTTTTTCCTTGATCTCATCCGTTCTATGTAAAAAAGGAAAGGATCGTCGATGAGAGATTTAAGAAATAGCTACGTGCTAAAAAGTATAGAAGGAAATATCCAATTAAGTATTGACGCTGAGGAAATTTTTTTTTCTTCAAAATTGCGAAAACTGCTTCAAATAAAAGTTGTTCTCCTTCTAATTTCGATATTTAACGAGTTACGTATGATTATTTGGCATTTTATTGATGTTGACAAAATCCGACCATCCCACCGTCGAAACGGCGAACTTTTGGCAAAAAATTTCGTTTTTCCTTAATAACTCCTAAACCCTTGCAGATACGGGAAAATTGCATTAGACCTTTCTTGTAGAGGATGACGAGATCTACAATTTCTGTATAAAAACTTTTTGCTAGCATTAATATTTAACGAGTTATTGACGAAAAACTAAAAAACAGTTTTTTGCAAATAACTCATAAACTATTGATGAGAGCGAAAAAGTTTTACATGAAAATTGTAGATCTCGTCGTCCTCTACAAGAAAGGTCTGATGCAATTTTCCCATATATCCAACGGTTTGGGAGTTATTGGCCAAAAACGAAAATTTGGAAGAAATTGAAGGGGTACCCCCTTGGAAAAATCTCGGGAAAATCCGAAAATTTTTGTTGTTGTTTATTATTAGCAATGTTCTTCCGACGTCTGATTTCTTTTTAAAAAATGCGTTTCTAAAGTGCATAATCTTCCTGCGTTTCTAAAGACATAAGAATTCCACATCTAATATTAATTTTTAGTAGTGCTTGCAAAATTTCTAAAATTTTGTACAGTTTTTTATTAATGTAATATCTAGTAAGTACAATAATTTCAATGCTTTGTCATTGCTTTTTTGTAAGGGTTCATACAACCTTAAAGTCAGCACTGGTTGTATTTACGTCTGGAAAGAATCGTTACTTGTACGACCGTGCTCGCGTTAATGGTCCTCGGGGACGTGTCCACGATCGCCGCGCGAGAACGGAAGCGTGCAACAGGGACGAGCGGGTGCGCCGTGTCGTTCAATTAACGGACGGGCGGGGAACATCTTTTCGGGCTTCTTTGATCATGCTGCCCTCGCTGCGAAAAGGGATGTTATTTCGTGGGGCAAACTCACAAAGTTGGAATTTCCCGTCTTTAGTCGGCGACGTCGGTGATTAGAGTTTGGCGAGGCATCTACACGGCGACTGAATACTTCTTGTACGCGGATATTTACGTGTGCGCCAGGAAGCCTCAAAGCGATCGTTGTCCCCTTAATTACTGGGATTAAATACCGTGCGTGTGAAACGAAATAATTAACTTGGGAGATTTTCTTATTCACTTTTCCATCGTCGAACGTAGCGTTGTTCGACGTCCTCGAGGAAAGTGCGAAAACGAGGCATTCTATTTGCGATAAACATGTAATTAATCGTGTTCCATTCACTTGCGAAATGTACAGGAAGCGTATTATTACACGTCACGCCTTGTATTTAGAAAATCAGAATACATTACCGCGTAGCACGTGACTCCTTAAGCAAAATTAAATTGGCTGTCAAGTTTATGTTAAAGAAAATCCATGATCTGTCATCTGTTTTATTAGATTACTTTATAATAAATTAATTAATGCCTTTTACATGGTCCAGTCAAAGTATAATAATTCTTCTGTAGATCCCTAAACAGCAACAATTATGTTTCGAGTATCGGAAAGGGTGTAATAAAAAGGAAATTCTGATTTCAGCGTACGATGACGTTTCCGGGATTGAAATTACGGATTTGCGTTCGGTTGCTTAATAAATTCCCGGGCGAACGACACCTTACCGCGGGCAGATCTCGTTTCGCAGGCCGCTATACAGGAATGTTAAATCGACGTTGCGTCGCATAAAAGGCGCTTTATTTATACGTACCCATTCTTACGCAGCGCCCGTGCCCGCTGGACCGTAACGGGCCTGAGTATCTTACGAAATCGCGGATAACATACGTTTCCATTATGGAAATATAAAAATGTACGGTTGCGTTTAGTCCAGACCACTGCGAAGGTGTAGTTCAGCGATAGACAACGCCACGATTGTTACGCCTCACGTGATTAATAAACAATGACTATGTTAATTATACTAGATCTATGAATCGTCACGTGATTTATATCTAAAGTTCCATTCCCCGTCATCGATTCTAATCAGTTAGATAACTTGTTTGCTAACCTGGAAGATTATTTGTTTTATTTAAGGCCTCAGGGATGTACAGGACGTATTTTTGTATTACATTTTATTTAGTTTTAATAAAGTGAAAATGAATATTATTTGACAATTGCATTTTATTTGCCGCCCTCGTCACATTTGTCTCTTATACAGATTACTGTACATACTTGTATATATAAATAACAGCGAAGGTGCGATGAACAACGCACCCATGGCGTTAATGCAATTAAAATGATACGCGAATGCCCGGGCAAATAAATTTTCCAAAGCGTGCACCGTGAATTCGTTCGCGTCGCGAAATCGCTCGTGATAATACACGATGAATCCTATTCTGTGAACAGAAGTAGCTCGAAACGAGATTGGATTAAACACAGTGACGGCGGTGGTCGCTTTGCGAAGTAAAAAGAAAACTAAATACAATTTACCGTGACTGCATTCAATAATGTTCCTGGAATTCTTAATCCTTGGTTAAATGATGAAATCAGCTCTAGGAAAAGAACCAACAAACAAACGAAAACACGGATTGATCGATTGAGAGTTTATGTTTATTGCCATGCATAATCGCTAATGATGACCGAGCCAATAAACGATAACGTCTAATCATGTCTCCTAAGTATACAATTGCAACAGTTCCGAATTTTTAGGCAATAACTCAAAACAAAATATAAATTTTTTCTCAATTAATATCGTCATTTATTTTTTAGAAGTTAGAATAGCCAAATGTGCTTCACACTTAGAAAATATGTTTCGTACAATGGGGATTTATTTCTCTATCTAACTTTCTATCCAGGACTTGAAAACATGATATCTGTTCCGATTCTTGAGTACCAAAAAATGCCATAACTGTTTTAGATATATCGGTCCTGACTTAGGTATATCGGTTTCGGTACTTCAGAATTTATGTTACGTCAGTTTTTAGTCATTTCTTGGTCCTGTATTTTAATTCTATCGATATCTTGCATTTTATCTGGAACATTGAGTTTACATATAGCAAATATTAACAGTCATATGGCTTTGCACATAAGCTTTTCGATTGCTAAAGAAAATATATACCTGTTACTGAAAACTGTAATCGAAACGAAAAACTAAAATACAAAACCGAAAAATATTAGTAACAGAGTCGATATAATATCAGTTCGATAGTAGAACGGAAACTGAAACCCACATGAGTCAGAGCCGATATATCTAATAACAGTTATAGCATTTTTTTGGTTCTCCGCAATAACTGTTTCGGTCAGAACCGATATATAACAGTTATTTTCGAAACTTTTTCAATCCCTGTTTTTATCTATACATGGAAGCCTTGATAGAAACCGATTTCCACTAAAATCTTCATATGAACATTTATGTGTATACAAGTTTTATTATACTTCGTTTTAAAAATGTAATTAAAATGTAAAACGATGCAGAATTAAGTTTTCAAGGAATTATAGAAAATCTGTTAATATATAAACCAAACATATTAATTCAGTATTGAAAAAATATATTTATTAACATCTTTAAACTTTGTCATCCTAGAAAAAAGTAACATGAGCAAAAAAAAGAATCATTATTCCATAACTGTACATAATTAATATCTACAGCTTCTGCGAAACACATATAACAAATTGTATTATGCTACATGCACAAGTATAATTTAATTCATACTGCAAATACCAAATGTTCAAGAAAATTAATGTTTTCGTGTCTTCGCAGGTTCTTGGCAATCTGGTGGCCATTGAAGTGTCAAATAACGAAGAGGCGAGCACGAATGATGATAGTCGTGATCTGGTTCATCGCGTTGACGACTACCTCGCCGTGGCTGCTGTTCTTCGACCTGGTGGCGATCTACGACGACGACCCAGACCTTAGACTATGCCTGGAGGTGTGGCCACGGCCGGAAGACGGCACCCTCTTCTTCCTGATCGGCAACCTGACCCTGTGCTACGTCCTGCCCACGATCCTGATCTCTCTCTGCTACATCCTGATCTGGATCAAAGTCTGGCGCAGGCACATACCGTCGGACACGAAGGACGCCCAGATGGAAAGGATACAGCAGAAGTCGAAGGTGAAGGTCGTCAAGATGCTTGTAGTCGTCGTGATACTGTTCGTGCTGTCCTGGCTGCCCTTGTACGTGATCTTCACGGTGATCAAGCTTGGCGGCGACGTGGCCGACAGGGAGGACGAGATCCTGCCGATTGCCACACCGATCGCCCAGTGGCTGGGTGCCAGCAACTCGTGCATCAATCCGATCCTGTACGCTTTCTTCAACAAGAAATACCGACGCGGGTTCGTGGCGATCCTGAAGAGCGGACGCTGCTGCGGGAAGATCAGATACTACGAGACGGTCGCGATGATGTCGTCCTCGACCAGCATGAGGAAGTCCTCGTATTACGTTAACAATAATAATAATAACTCGTCGACCAGACGGTTCCACGGACCGCCAGTTCACCAGGAGAGCAACGTCTCGTACATATTCAACCACACTGGCGTCTAAACCACCGAACACCGGCTGAACGGGGAGAAGAGAGAGAGCGAGAGAGAGAGAGAGAGAGAGACGAAAAATAAGAAATTTGACGTTCGGGTATATTCCGAGGCTGACTGCCTGGAACATGGGCTTCATAGCAGCCGGTCCGAGATTCTGGGTCACGCTTGATCGTACCGATTGTTACTCGGATCGGAAATTCGCCGATTACGGAGTTCCACCCATGGAAGTACGTTGTTCACCCGCGAAATCAATCCCGTTTCTTCTTCTCGATTACGTTTTGCCCCCTTCGCGTCCCCTTTTGCTCGCCGCGGCGCGTGGTTCGACGCGGCGGCCCGACCCCTTGTCGTTCAAAAGGGAAACCAATGTTTCTCATATCCGCCGTTTTCTATTCTCACACGTTTCGTTCAGGAACGCGGGAAACAGCATCGCCGTGCACACGGTTTTCGAACGATACCCGGTTTAACCGTTGTTACGTGAGTCCGCAGCTTCGACGTGTCTGGGACGGACGCAAGAATTGAACCCTTGCAATTGACACTGTCAAAACGAAGAGGCGCGGGGAGGAATCGACTCGAACACTTCGAAGCGGTCCTCATTTTTCACGAGCACTTTTCTGAATTTCTCGAGGAATCCGCGTACGAGGGGACCGAGTCAGTTTGTAATTAGCGCGGCCGTGGGAAGGGAGGGGCGGCGGGGGAAGTTAGCATGATAACTTGCGTGAGAGGGAGAAGCTCGACTTGGTCGCGTCTCGACGACTGTGTGTACTTTAGCTACTACGCAACCACGGGACACAGACACAATTAGTTGGTCGCGGTGTTCGCTGGCGTAACGTACCAGGCGGGTTGCAATTAATTCTGAAAGAGCGCGAGGTTGAACGTGCGACGCGACGTTCGCGAGAGAGGCCAGAGGGACATATAATAATCCATGTATCCGAAACGTGTACGAAGCGTTGCTCGCGCGATGTACGGTCGTCCGATCGTAACGATCCTCCTGGAACTACTGGTGGTCCATTGTAATTGTAATTTGTCGTCAGGATGCAGGCCGGAAGCGAACGAAACTTCTCGCGCACCGACGTCGACCCGTCTCGACGATTTACTCGTAGGTCCTTAAGCTACGTAACACTGTAATTTATCCGTGCATTGCATGCCGTGATTTTAAGTGACACACTTATTTGCATAACACCTAACGTTACATTACACATTACTGGCATAGCATGTACGCGAACGATCGAGATAAAGCTATAGAGATAGGCAGAGAAAGCGAAAGAGAGAGAGAGAGAAAGGGCAAGGTAAACGCGTTTAGAAGTAAAGAAGACGGAGAAAGAACGAAAAGTAAAAACAAAAAAAGTCGATCGAATTTCGATGAAACACTACCTCCGCATACCAGCAAAGAAAATTACTACTTATATACACTAATTGTACTCATTATTCGTAGCACGGTCGGCTAAAACAAGTATGATACATATATATATATACACACGTACATACATATATATATTTTCTTATCGAAACGTTAAAGGATTTAGCCGATTTTTGGGACTTCTTACGGTGTCATACGTAGGTACACTGATGAACATATTTAACCGCGGGACAGTCCGCGCGAGGACTAACAATAAGATACTTAAAGTGACGCCTATTCCTGCGTGCACTTTGCCAGAACCGAGCGCGCACGAGTTCTAGTTGATATTTACTTAACGATTCGATCGAACGATTAACAACGCTTTCGTCTTTGCCGCGTTATCAACGTTGCCCTCTTTCCATCTCCTTCTACCCGAAGCCCGACCACTTCCACCCAAGCCTGCCCCGATCCCCGTTAATGCCCCTCCAACGATCCATTCCTCTGTGTCTACGCGACCCAGAGTAAGGCGAAAGTGACCGACTTTACTGTTTTGTCTCGGATTATCTTCTGAACCGATTATGTGTGCGACGAATTAACGCGGTCACTGGCGACAATAACGACCTTTCGCGCTTCGGGAGGCAGACTCCTGTTAAGAGCCAGTTAAGAGACCATGCTACGTGCGCGCGGAAAGCGCGTGAACGTATTTTTTAAAAATTCGATTACTCGAATCGAGTCGTAGAGAAATGACGCACGCGTAATTGTCAGTAAACCGTGTCTCGTTAAAAATCAGCGTGGAACAGTGTCGAGAAATACGTAGAGAAATCCCTTCGATTTTCTCACTGCGTTCATTGATTGATGTAGGAATTAAATTCTCATTTTCCGTTAAACTGCCACGTAGCAGTTTTTGATCACGGGACTGCGGATTTCATGCGTTTGTAAGAAAAGTGAATGTGCAAGGAATGTAAACACTGCATGTAATTATATAAAAATGTAGAAGATATCGAAGATAGTGAATATTGCGATACTTAAATCATAAAAGAAATTGTTATTTAAAGACAGATTTTTTTTAGACTGCTAACATAAATATTTTATGTTGCGCAAAAATCCGCGGTCCATCGATCATTGTTCTCCACTGATGGTTCCCAACCGATGATTCGTCGATCTTCTACGAGACTTTTACCGGGCATTTACGAAGCGTTCATCCCCGATGCCAGAGAATAGATACGCCTCCGTCGATCAGCTGTGAACCTGTTTTTCCTAGGATGAATCAGACATGCTCGTTCGGTAAAATTGTTGGAAATCGCGCGCCAAGCTTACGGCGATCAACGAACGTGAACGAGGACGCACGAGATTAAGTCCGATCTAATAGGATGTAAACGGCGGGCCGCCGAGGGGAGATAAAACGAAAATTCTGATACTCCGATTTGTAATACTGATGTATGAGGGTGTAACGTTTGTAAGAGCCGCGGGGTTTTATGATAGAGCAACTATTTTCGTAAGGTTTTTATACGTGGCGAGAAAGAGGATCTAGATGTAACGAAAACCTGCGAAGCATAAATTGTACAGACCGTCGTCGTGAGGAATTAAACTTATTCATATCTATCGTCGGGCTGAGCGATGCCTACGAAGTTGCGCGACGTTTCTTAGAGGTATAAGGAAGTATGAGAAGGAGGGAGGAGGAGACCTGTAATCTAGAGGTAAACGAGGACGTCGGAGGATAGTTAACTGTAAGAAGGAAAAAGCACAAGAGAAATTTACTGTGTAACGGAGGGCACACGCGTTGGTGTTTATTATTGTATATTAATCGCAATCTCGAGGAGGCACGTGCTAAACGTGACTCGCGCGTCTCGTAAGTTAACGATTTATATATATACATACATAAATAAATAGCGTATTATTATATATATATACATATATTATACATATATACTATACTGGCACTAAACGTCTATCTGCTGTCTCTATATGTACATATATGTAACTTAATTGTAAATTGTAATTATGTATATCGTTGCTATGTTGTTACTATCGATATTATATACATCATCGTTACACCTTCGTTCTTTATATCCGTTGTCTCTCCACACATGGAGGGATCTTTACGCATCCGAGTTCCATTGTATGTATGTATATGTAAATCTCATTGAGACGATTCACGTCACGGGAGCTGCCGTTCGTTGTTCACCGTTTTCACCCTGTTCATGTGAGATACGTTTCGCGTACGCACAGTCAAAGAAAAACAGGCCTCTGCGTTGATAATAACTCGCGGAGGGCATCTCGTTTTACGCCCGTTAATCGCGCGACGGTATCGTTCGATCGCGCGATCCGTTATCGTTTCCGGATATGTATATGCATTGTATATACGTCTAAATATGTATATGTATTCCGAGTATCGTGTCCGCAATATGCAATACCATAATATACATATATATACATATATATATATATATATATATATATAATATATTATTGCCGATATCTCAGACTATTCGAAGGCTTCAGATTTTATTGATAACTGTTATTCCAACTATTTTGATATTTGGAACGTCGCGAATTTCGCCTGTAAATTACACGATATATTATGTATCGTTAGAGACTTTATGAAAAAGTTAAAAAAAATAATATTCGAACGATTCGGGTATCTCGAAACGGTACGCGCTATACCTACATTGTTGGTATTTTAAGTATTTTCGTATTTTACGTACGTACTATTGATAATATTTTTTATAAACACCGGTGATCATACGTCCTTTTAAATGGTAGAGGGACGAAACAGAGGTGAATGTGGTTGATTGACTGTACGTATCGGGATTAGTCGCGTTGACGATCAACTGGCACGGCTGGTCGCGTCCTCGCGGGCCCGCACGCACGCGGAACTGTTCGCCTGTTTTTTAAACGAACCTACTTACTACTCGTCTGCAATTAGAAATTATTTTCGTACGTATATATACAATATATAACTTCCGGTAATCAGCCGATCCGGACTTCGCAAGAGCACGCGCGACCGGTGTTTCAAACGAGAACGCCGCGTCTGTGATTAGGAAAACGATTAGACTCTCTCGTCGATCGTGATACGAGTTCGCACGATGACATCGCGATATTTATATAATAGCGATATTAATATGTAAGTGTTACTGATTTTTTCCCAAAGCATGTATTTTGAATAACGGAAAACGTTGTGAGAATTTCTTAGTGATAAACATATACTTAAGGTACGAGTACTGTTGCATAATGTTAAACGATTAATTTAATGACAGTGTTAAGGTAGCTGTAGATGGAATTATAAATTCTAGAACGCGCGAGGAACGTTTGTTTAATTGTTACTCGTAGGGAATATTCTTGCAACACCGCGGCTTCGATGCGTAGCAATGGTTAAGGATTAACAGCGGACGTTCTCATTGATAGCATTTCGAAAACGGGGTATTGTTTAAGGGAACGTTCTTACATACATCGTGATGCAAATTTTTAGGGTATAAATTATAATAAGATATGCACATTCTTTATCCAATGATAAGATTTCTGTCGTTTAATTAACGCTGCAGATCCGGGAAGAATGTTCAAGGAAACCAACCACTGTGACGTCGAACATGCTTTATCGATGAATTACACGCGAACCAATTTACTGCTTGTGGCGAACGTCGATGGGAACATTGAACGCGAACTTTCCTACTCTTGACTTCTTATAGAACTCTATTTAGAATGCAAAAGCCGATCACGATCGACACGAGAAAAATAATTGCCATAAAGAGAATCGTTTTCTTGATTATTATCGCGCGAAAGCGAGTCGTGCTCTCGAAGTTTAAAGGTCAATCTGTACAGGGCGTCGTGTGATACTCTGCCGGAATAACGAAAAGTTTCGATCCATTAAGAAATCGTTTGTGGTGGATGTCAATGCCGTAAATTGAACTTTAATAATAGAGTATAATGTGTAAAAGCAAAAGCATAGATATAAGATTCCTAGACTTCGCATTCCCTATCTCTCCAAGATTCTAAAATTAGGTAGTCTAAGGCTATGTACAGGCTTGTTACTGTCTTTTAATAATAGCATTGTTGGACGAAGACAGTAACAGGCTTGACAATGTTCTCTTCTAATTTCTCTCAGCCATGAACCTGTATGCGAAGTCGAAGAATCCTATGTCTATGAGTAGATGGTTTCAGAGGGTCTCAAGGGTAAATCTCCCAAATTCGTCGTACAAAATTTTACATTACAAAACGTTTAACTTTAACTTTTACGTCCTGACAAAGTTTTATGAAACTCAGATTTATTGTTAATTTCAAACAATTAGTGCGGGCAAAGGAGGATGATAGTATCGAATATTTTTTGGAGACAAATCATCATGATTGCAATTCATGATTTCAGTTTTTACTACAATCTCTTTCTGTTTGCAAAAAGCAAAAAATAATCTTAACGTATACTCGGCACTTAAGCTACGGCATTGGTATCTACAGCGAACTCTTCTTTGTTAATCTAACACGTCATGGCTCTGTACAGATTGATCTTAACCCGGCTGCCCTAGTATCTCCTACTATAAACGTGGTCGAACGTGGAACATACGAAACCCGTAGCACCACGCTAAAAAAAGCAAGAACAGCGACATAGAGTAACAATAAGCATGTAGCTAAAATGAAACTCGTGCTCGGATCGAGCTAGCCTGGCCAGTTGAATCATCGGGCGTGTATCTCGCGTGTTATGCGACAACCTTCTCGACGATATCGTTTGAAAACGAAACTGGATCGACTCTACTGCAATCTTCCTAAGCGCTATCGTTCACGACGGGTGAAGCCACGCGCACGGCCGACGGACGAATTGTTTCTTCTTGAATTTCACGCATACGTTCGTTCCTCTGCTTTATATTGCGACGATAAGTGTAAAGAACCGGGGGATGTACACCTTGAAGCATCGATCAAGAATCTGGAAAAACGATAGACAATGTTCAGCGAGTTTTTTCGTTATCCATACCGCAATTCATTAATTTTAATACACACTGAATTTACTTATACTGTAAACATGATTTACTGTTCTTTTATTTGATTCTGTAAAGTAGTTGACGTTCACGCATCATCGAACACACCAACGCAGTCTAGACATGTGGCTATCGATAATAAAACAATTGACAACCATTAGGAGTGATTGTGATTATACATCACTCGTTCTATTTAAGTGGCAGTATTGTTGACATTATCAATAAAATATCGACGACTTATCAGTAACGATCGATAGGCACAGTTCTAAAGCATGCCCAGTTGATTTCCAATAATAATTTACTTATCTGAATTCGCACAACGAGAGAGCACCTGGTGGGATGCTTAGTTCGTAAGGATCACTGTCAACGTCACGCGCCTCGATCTCTGAATTCACAGCAGCGTGTGAGAAGCACAAAGTCTCCGACGACGAGCACATTGTACGCGGCGAGACATGCATTATAATACATTTTAAGGGTCAGTAACGATAATATTGGTTTCCAAGCTTGAGAGTAATTTATAACGCTGTAGCAGACAGTTATTAATTGACCGAGGAAACGAGCTCCTTTAACGGTAGCTTCTGAGCATGTAGGAAAGCTCTTCTTCTAGGCGTCGAGACGCGTAGGCGACACTGTCGTTCCCCGCGATCGCTCTCGTTCTCGGCGGACGAGATGATTATAAACAATTGCAGAATTTAATCGCACAAACTGCTGATCATGCCGTTTGACAAACTTCGTTTAGCTGAAACGTTCGCATATTGCCTTTGCACACATAAACCGGATGGGTACTCGCTTATCGATGGATTTGATTCTGACTCTACAACCGTCGACGCGATGAATTGTATAAAGAGGAAGGGAGCAGGGGAATTTATTTTTAGTACTTTTCATCTTCTCCGTTCTTCTCAAATTAAATTGCAATGGGGCCAAAGCACGTGGTGTCTAGAAAGTTTTGCTGGGCTTTCGAGTGCGCGCACATACATACAATGTTCATACGCGTTTCGCGGTGAAACTGTTCACACCTTCGCCGGAGGATCCGTCGTATCAATCAGTTTAGAACGTCGATGAGGGAATGGGGTGGTGGGGCGGGGCTGTGTGAAAACTTTTTCCGCGGAACGTCGGGACTCTCGTTGGAACGTGAACGATGGCCGCAGATGTTTCGAGTCTTTATCAATTCATCGGATATTTTTCTACACGGGTTCGATTAGATTTTTCAAAAGCATCGTGTGTAAATAAACGGCAATTTTAGATAAATATATTATTATTACATTATATTTATATTATACATTATTACACAAAGCGTTTACACTCAGAAATAAGGTAACAAGATATTTCTCTATCAATTTATAACGAACGAAAATATAGGTAAATAAATATGTGAATAAATAAATCCAAGTGTCGTAATGTTTCGGGATGACAATGAACATTTGGGGCCCCCTGAGGCTCTGCCATAAACTAAGCTTTCGATTGTTTGTATAAAATCACCAACCCCCCGATGGAATCTTCGTAGCTCTTCGACATTATGATCTAGCGTAATAATACCGATTATATTGAAAAATTGTCCTCGTCAAAGAGAACGAAGGAGGGAGAACGAACAACTCCATGCTGGCGCGTTTAGTTGTCTTCTTTGTACAGACGCATGGATTTTTAACAGTTGCCTTGAGAACGTGATTGATCTGAGATTCGTTTTATCGCGGCGATTTTGGCCAGGACTTTTTGCGAGGAACGATTGAGAAGATTGAATTAGCCATACGTTTAACGTTTAAAATACGCCATTTTGTCAGCGCAGCCTACTGTTAATGGTAGAACAATTGTGCAATGTTTCCTACACCGACGTAAGGTTTTACTAAGTAGATGATACTTTACCGTTACCATGTTACACCGATATCGAATGTCTAACAGAATGCCCGAGTGAATGTAATTGATCGAGATGTAGAGACGTCCTTATTTTCATGCATTTCCTTTCTCTTCGAATATTATAGTGTCTATCAAGTAAAATAATATCAGACAAAAATATAAAAGCGACACCTTTCGAATAAACTGTTCAATTTAATTGCAGACTTTTCAGTGTATCTTGGTTGTATATTAAATTCTGAAAATTCTTTCTCTTTGGACGGTAGAAGCCTTAGTGCTAAATTAGTGAAACCGTTTTTTTTTTTTTTTTTTAATATCTCGTGTAACGACGTTTTGCCGCGTAAGAACGTGCACGTCTAACAAAGCGTAGGTGCGTCGAACGCCTAGCGAATCTAGCCAGAATTTTCGCTGCCCGAGAAAATCCCTTCGAATATCCATATCCAACACCTAGAGGTGTATGAAAACTATTATGCTGCAATTAGACATCAATTTAAATATAGCACTGTTAATCACGTAGCGAAAAAAATAAATAAAAGTGGAATGAAAGATAGAAGAAAGAGAGGAAGGATTAGTTTTGGACAGTTTCGCACAGTCGGATCGGTTAAATGAAAAAAAACGGTCGAATCAGCGCACAGCAATTACACGCTTCCGTCACTGCGTTCATTATTATTGTTATCGCACACTTCGAAACGACACTGTGCAACACGGTTGCACAGTCTTCGGCGCGTAGCGACATTTGACGATGCGCAATTTTTCATTTCGTATCCCATTGGACCCATGGACAAACTTTGTTGAACAAGGAATATTTTCTCCCAGAGTAGAACGCGATAATCAATGTATTGTAATAATAATCGTAGGTCCCTCGGTTTAGGCGCACGTAAAACTGTTGAAGGGAAGGAACGCTGAGACTAAGCGAGCCATTTTTCGTTCACCGTTTTTCCGTTGCTTTGATGGGTACACGTGTTATATGGATAAGCGGCATTATCCGAATAACAATGAAATAATAGAAACATATTAGGTAAGGAAATGTTTGCAAATGAAATTGATAACTGTTTTAATATTGTATCGAAGTGTGTATATGTACCAACGTATGAACAAAAATGACACAAAAAAATGAACAAAAAAAAAAACAAAATGGAAAAAAGCCAGAGAATGTTGCAAATACAGACGAAGATGCCTCTTACCCCCCTGCCCCTCGATATCCAACGCCCCGTCTCCCCCACCCCCAGCCCTCTCCAACTTTCATTCACTGTAAACTGTAAGATATATTACGAATGATATTAAATCAATCTGCGATTCGAGCCCCGATACGTAACCACCGTGTGGGCTAGTCTTCGTTTGTTGTACGTTTCAGTATAGCGACCGACGTTGCTGCGGTGTCGCGATTCAACATCGACCAGCCTCGGATACGTTTCGTCCAGTTGATAGCTCGTCGTCAAATGGCGGAAGTAGCAATAAATTTTCATTTGCTTCCCCGGTTTCGCCCTCCGACCTGTCCCTCGATCGTGCAACACGATGATCGTTATACGGGGTGGCGACGCGACGCCACGCTGAATCGCGACCCGCAAGAATTAAAATAATAATGAGTTGCGAATAAGTATACGCATTTTGTCAATGAAAATGATAAAATGATCAAATAAAACACTTCCACTGTGAATACGCACTGTTTTCTTTACTCGATACGCCTTTCAAAAATTATCTAGCCAGAAATAATGAATCATTTATGGGTTGCTGTGATTCAATAATTTTTTTTAAACACGTTTGAACCAGTGTTATATGTAGCTTCATTCTAAATGTGACAATTTCAGGTTTTAGTAAGAATTAGTTAAAATCAGCATTGAGATGATAAGCAGTTATTATGGTATTTTTACTTTTGTCATTAACATAAACTGGTCAAACCAATAAATATTTATAATACTGCTCTCGCTCATTATTCGTTATACCAAATACACTAATTTTCTTCATTTTATTTTAAAAATATTACTGAAACATTATAATAAAATTTCGTATATTTGACACTGCTTATATTAATAAAATGTATAAAATAGAGGGAGAATTTCCTACGTCGTGTGGCGGTTTTTGAATTCGTGATTTGCTCGATGATGATATTATGAATGTTAACTGAAACTTTAGATGAGTTGCTGGAACAGAGCGAAGTGATCCGCGACGCCGTATACAATTCGGATTGGGCACGGTATCTCGACCAGGTGGACAGAGACATAAAAGCTGGGATTATTATGATCATGTTGAAATCCCAGCGGCCATCTATCAGCAGGGGGATTCTTTATCATTTCGAAGTCGAAATTCTCATCAGTAATAATATGATTAATAAAAGAACTAAAAGTATTGCATTTCCCGTTTGTTCCAAGAATTAAAAATTAGTGCAGTCTAACGCGTTCTGCATTTTATTTAATAAATACCTAAGACATCGCAGCAAGTTAGTGAAGGAAGCACCGCTCTTGTTCTCGGAATAGTGTGTTTTCAGAAGAAAGGTAGCTACACGACTGTTCAAATACGAAACCTTGAAAATGCATCAAGCAAAGAAGACAGCGCGCTCAAAGGCCATCAGAGTGCTTTTCCATGGCTTCTACACTTTTCAACTTTGTCATTTCTCGATAGTTTCACCCTCGAACTGTGCAACCTATAATTTTTACCTTTCGCAAGATCACACGCTGCACTGCTAATATTCTATTCCTTTCGTATGACAACGTGACAATCGGAAGTGCATAACTTATTCATCGGGTAGTAAGTGTTATTATCATGTCTCTTCTTCCTGACGCGTAAAAATCAACGCGAAGAGGCATATGTCTCTCACGGAAGTAATGTAATGTGCCGATGATATTAAAGAAATATGTTACTCGAGAGCGTCTTGTGTGAAAGAGCCGCGGTCGAATCTGTCAATTGACATTTCAATTTGAAATCGGCCCGGTTAACTACGAGGAAGGAATCGACATGGAGAAATCGCCGAACTCGGAATTCAAAGACATGTCCATTTACTGGTCGGTCTTTTTCTTGAAGGCAGCCGGCGTATGGCTGACGTCGGACGATAAAGAGGAACGCCATAGGAAATACATTTTTACGCTCAGTGGCTTCCTCCTAATATTCGGCATTTACTTGAACGCCGTTGATTGTTATTACAGCTGGGGTGATCTAAGCGTAAGTATAGACATCGATCAACGATACCACATATAGTTCATTACAAAAAACGAAATGACAATGAATGGAAAAATAAATTTGGGAAGTTTTATCTTTTCAGCATTGCATATTCTTGATTAATAATACACTGTGCATTCTGCTTGGTACGTACAAAGTAATAATTTTAAGTACTCAGAGAATGGAGTTCAGGGAGATTGTCCTGTACGCGCAGAAGAATTTTTGGCATTCGAATTACAGTGGATACGAGAAAGAGATTTTTATGCAGTGTCAAAAGCTTTGCAAACTGTGGGTCCTAGGTACAGGCTTCCTTCTGCAAGCTACCATAGTGGGCTACGCGATTACCCCTATCGTTTGTTAGTAAAGTAATATCATTTTATTTTATTAACCGTATGCCATTTATTGTCACGCCTTACAGAACTTTATCTTTCAGTGAATATAGGAAAGAACGAGTCAGACAGAGTACTTCCGTTCAACCTATGGTCGGACTTGCCGCTGTCGCTGTCACCCTACTACGAATTATTATTCATCTCTCAGGTATTATAGCTCATCGATCATCAAATCGACGATCTCAGCTTTTAGAAGAGGTTGCCGAATTCGTATGAATGTCGAAATAGAAGCGATCCATATTCGACAACATTTTCGTGTTCGCTTCTCCATTTTTATTCAATCATGGCGATCAGACAGCAACGATTTCGAATAAACTACCCGTATGAAAACTTGCTATTTACACAGATGTTGTTTGTATACCAAATCGGGATCGTCTATGTCTGCAGCGACACGTTTTTGTGTATATTGAATATACACGTAATTGGTCAACTTCGAATTCTGCAATATAAATTCTTGAAACTTCAGTCACCTACCAAAACGGACTTGATCGACTGCGTGAACGAGGATTACGTAAAGCTGAAGAAGTGCATACGAGATCACCAAGCGCTGATTAAATTCTGCGACATGCTCGAAGGCGTTTTCTCGCTGCCGATCCTTGGTCACATGGTCGTCTTCAGCTTGCTTATGTGCTTCGACACGTACGAGATACTTCTGGTACATACAAACAGTTAAACCTTCTGTCTGTGCATTCAATGATGTGAAACTTTTTTCTAAATTTCAAATGAATTTGAGCAATTTATTATGGGAGACACATTTTTAAGTGTTCATGCAATTTAAAGCTGCATGCAATTATAAGAAACTATTTAAAGCAATTTATAGGTTTTAAACAAATCATGTTGTAGAATATCTAAGAGTTATTCAATTCAATTGTCTTAACATTTTTCTCAAAATATTTTTATTTTTGCGTTGTAGGCAGACGAACCCTTCACGTCGCAGTCTATTTTCATTTTCCATATGCTCGGCAGTTTCTTTCAAATGATTTTGTTCACGTCCAGTTGTCAGGGACTGATCGAGGAGAGTACGAATGTTCGCCTAGCGGCGTTATTCATCGGGTAGTAAGTGTTATTATCATGTCTCTTCTTCCTGACGCGTAAAAATCAACGCGAAGAGGCATATGTCTCTCACGGAAGTAATGTAATGTGCCGATGATATTAAAGAAATATGTTACTCGAGAGCGTCTTGTGTGAAAGAGCCGCGGTCGAATCTGTCAATTGACATTTCAATTTGAAATCGGCCCGGTTAACTACGAGGAAGGAATCGACATGGAGAAATCGCCGAACTCGGAATTCAAAGACATGTCCATTTACTGGTCGGTCTTTTTCTTGAAGGCAGCCGGCGTATGGCTGACGTCGGACGATAAAGAGGAACGCCACAGGAGATACGTTTATGTGTTCAGTATCTCCGTGCATATATACGGTGTCTATGTGAACTCCGTTGATTGTTATCACAGCTGGGGTAATCTAAGCGTAAGTTCGGACATTGATCAACGATACCACATATAGTTCATTATAAAAAACGAAATGACAATGAATGGAAAAATAAATTTGGAAGTTTTATCTTTTCAGCATTGCATATTCTTGATTAATAATACACTGTGCATTCTGCTTGGTACGTACAAAGTAATAATTTTAAGTACTCAGAGAATGGAGTTCAGGGAGATTGTCCTGTACGCGCAGAAGAATTTTTGGCATTCGAATTACAGTGGATACGAGAAAGAGATTTTTATGCAGTGTCAAAAGCTTTGCAAACTGTGGGTCCTAGGTACAGGCTTCCTTCTGCAAGCTACCATAGTGGGCTACGCGATTACCCCTATCGTTTGTTAGTAAAGTAATATCATTTTATTTTATTAACCGTATGCCATTTATTGTCACGCCTTAC